AATTTGGGACGAGGAGGTGTTCCCAAAAGCTGTCATCGTTCCCGTATACAAAAGTAAAGATAAACTGGATTGCAATAACTACAGAGGCATCAGCCTGTTGTGCCACAGTAGTAAGATCATCACAGCAATAATTATGGAAAGAATGAAGAAGAAAACGGAAGAAATCCTCTCCGAAGAACAGGCGGCCTTCAGAACATCACGGAGCACGATAGACCGAATATTCACGCTCCAACGACAATTAGCTGAGAAGTATACTGACTTCGGCAAGGACTTATTTGTATGATATGTAGACTTCAAAAAGGCATTCGATAGCGTGTGGAGAGCTGGATTGTGTAATGTGATGAGGAGATTAGGATACCCAGAAAAAGTTGTCAGAATATTAGAGAGCCTATATAAAGGTACATTCAGCGCCATAAGAATAGTTGCTGATGTGACTGAATGGTCGAAACAATAGTAGGAGTACTACAGGGCTGCATGGTGTTCCACTTCTCTTTAATATCTTTTTAGAGGTGATTAGGCAAGTGCGCTGGAAGAGGCGAAGGAAGGAGCAGTCATGAATAGACAAATCATCAACAACCTCAGATAAGCGGACGACATCCCAGCTTTGGCAGAAAACCAGGATGACCTACAAGTAATGATCAACAGAATCGTAGAGGAGAGTACAAGGATGGGCATGAAGGTCAACACAGGAAAGACAGAAGTACAACATATTGGATGGGAAAAGACCAAATATAATATATAAATATAAATAGAGAACCAGGAACTTATGCAGGTAGAAGAATCGGAAATATTAATGAGGACGCCCCTACAGAACAGGACCACAGAAGAAGAATTGGACTAGCGTGTGGTGCAATGCAAAACTTGAACTCCATATGGAAATCTAAAGACATTTCCAGATTTACAAAAATAAGAGTTTATGAAGCCTTGGTACTCAACATACTATTATATAATTCAGAAACATGGACACTAAGAGAAGCAGACAAGAATGAACTGAGAGTGTTTAAAATGAATTGCTTACGGAAAATCCAAGGGGTGACAAGAAGAGACCGAATAAGAAACGTCGACATAAGAAGAGAGTTGGGGATGGAAATAGATGTGGTGCAGCGAATTCAGAAAAAGAGGCTTGGATACTTTGGACACGTGGTCCGAATGAAAACAGAACGACTTCCAAATGTCGCTCTATTCGGTCACGTTCACGGGACAAGGAGGAGAGGGCTTGCAGACTTGCAGCCTCTAACCGAAATGGATGGAGGGACTCCTGGTTGGGGCTGTGTGAGCGTGGTCTACCATCGCCACGACACACGAGACGAGACGAGAATATAAGAGATTGTTAGATTATGGTAAAGGTAATCTAAATGTAAAAATAGGGGAAATTAAAGCCTGAAAATTTAAATATCCAATATCGTACTGTTAAATGATAAAATGCCTTACATCCGACGAAAACCGATATGGCACCGATATATCCCCTAGTATGGCCTCATTGTTTGTCTACTACCATTTATCAGATCAAGAGAAATGTTCAAATATTCTGGAATCAAATGTTAATTTCAGTAATAATGGTATATACTGTACCTTAGTGTCTGATGTGAACATCTAATGTTAATTGCAGGAGTTAAAGAGCTTCCTGCCAGGCTACAATGTTCTTCCACACACTGCACACTCGATGCCTGCGGTAAGGATTTCTTAAACCTTGTTGCATGTTTTAATGATTGATGTGAAATGGTGTGCACTTTGACATGACCTCTGACCTTTGAACTTCTCAGTTGCACCTGGTGGCACTTAATGCCCCATTTTCAGGAGACATGCACGGAATCCGAGGGGCAGATTATCAGTGTTACCAGCAAGCCCGTGCCAGGGGCCTGACATCAACTTACAGAGCTTTCCTCTCCTCTCACCTACAAGACCTCTCCACCATCGTCAAGAAAGGGGACCGCTTTAACTTGCCAGTGGTGAACATCAAAGTATGTAAAGGATCATATTTGCACGATAGATTGCAATCAAGATTTTTTGATCAATGTGTTCTCATAATATGTAGTTTGCCTAAGTTTAGCCTGTCTAAATTAAGCTTCTTGTGCATCCTCTCTAGGGAGAAGTGCTCTTCGGCAGCTGGATGACTATGTTCTCCGGCAACGGGGCTGTTTTTGATCCACTTACTCCGATTTACTCCTTCGATGGACGAAATGTCATGACAGATCAGGCTTGGTAAACAGATTTTTATTTTGAAATTTTTTAGACATGTAAACTGAATTCTAACAGTTTGAATAATGCTAATAAAAATAGAATCTAAATTAATATTATTTGATATATTATGAATAAATTGTATATGTTTCTATGACTCAAGGCCTCAGAAACTGGTGTGGCACGGCTCGAGTACGGTGGGAATCCGAATGACAACTAACTACTGTGAGGCATGGCGGACGGGAGACATGGCGGTGACTGGACAGGCATCTCTTCTGCAGACCGGCAGATTGCTCGGGCAGCACACGCGTAGCTGCTCAAACCACTTCATTGTGCTTTGCATTGAGAACAGTTACATCCAGAACCCTGGAAGGAACTAGAAAGCTGACCATTTTAAAGTAAAGTAATGCAGATGTAGGGAGCAGCAGTAGCCGGACTGCTAGGGGAAATATCCAATCTACTCTGTTATTTTTAGGGAGAGAGTTCCTGTGAGAAGTGACAAGCCAGGGAAAATGGCACTGCAATCATGTTTCAGTACTTCTCTGAGCATGATGTAAATATGTATAAATCACCCACTGATATTGTTCAATCGACGACCCACGCTACGACATTTATTCAACTATTAGAATACCAAAGAATACCTCAGCCAGACATCGAGCAAGTGTAGATCCATTGTTTGAATTCACTGCATTACTGTGTGTCTTCTCAGAGGGTCTTAGTCCCTCCCTTACAGTGACTAATACAGAGTTGTGTGCGTGTGTATAATTTAAACTACAAATTTAAAATCATAAACATAGATACACACAAGATCCTTTCTTTTAATCAGATTAAATACCAATATTTAGATATCAGTATTTGGATATAATCAAACCACAGAGTTTTGGGAGTTGTTTAAACACTGTAATAATAATTTCTTATAATAATTTCTTTGTTTTTTCTGTTTAGAGGGGTTTTTTCACACCCATGAAGCTACTTTCTGTGAACTTGCATCTAAACTAGTATTAAATGGCAATATGTCTAATTTATAATGTAAAAGCACATAAAACTAAAACCCAGTGCCAAGTACATACTTAAATAGGCATTCATTTCAAAAGTTGACAGTGGCCACAACCACATTATAAGTCTTCACTGTGTTTAATCTTTCTATGACATATTTAGAAAGACAAACTAGAAAATAAAATACATTGTTTATCTTCTAGAAGTCAGATGAGTATGAAACAATCATATAGAGAGCCCTCCCCCTTTCTTTTTTTCATATTTCAATGGTGCTAAGTGAATAAATGTTTTGTTTTATACGTATGTCTGTTGTTTCTCTAAGTTGTGGCAGGTTTAAAAACAATACACAGACATAGTACGAGGAAAATAAAGATTTGATGTACCTGCTGTCTCGTCAAGGGCAAATGTGACTATGAACACTCCCGTTCAAATGTTTGGGGTCTGAAATTTTCAGAATCATTACTCCTGTCTTCCGTTTCACATCTAATCATTCTAATATGCTGAATATTTTATAAGTGGAAACATGCATTTCTTCAGGATTCTTTGGTGAATAAAAAGTTCAGAAGAACAGCATTTATTTGACAGAATTTTTTTCTCTCTACTGCCACATTTGATCAATTAATGCATTCTTGTTGAATAAAAGTATTAATTTCTTTTAAGAAAAGTATTACTGACCCCAAACTTTTGAACAGTAGTGTATATCAGGTCACAAGGGGGCAGAGTGGAGACACATAAAGCAGGAAATGCTCATCAAAAAAGCACATAGTTTGATTCAGAGTTTATATACTGTATGTGTATAATATGACTTTAATATGATTTTGCGCTAAGCTTGGCACACATAATATTTTAGTGTTACTCTTTGCAAAGCTGAACTTTGCTGGTGCCAAGTTTTCTCTAAAATGTATCTAAAATGTTTTAGCTTGGTCTTAATAACCAATCATCATTGGCCTCATTCTATTGCATTCCATCATGTTTGCCTGTTTTGTATGTCCGCCACAGAGACTAGTTTACTGAGCAGTCAGACAAATAGAAATGCTCTGTCAGCCTGATTCAAATCGTTCATTTCTACCAACAGGAAAGAGGAGTTTGCTATAGAGCACTAACCACAGATAAAAGCTGCTCATCAATCTCTGCCTTCAGGCTGTCTGTCTGCCCTGGATTGTTTCATTCACAGGACATAGTTATGTCATTTCTGGCCATATACAGCCTCATCTCGTTCACAATAATGATTAAAAATCTTTCTCTTTCTTATGTCTTTACACTGCTCCACCAAAGATGCACCCGAAGCAGCATAATAAGTATCACAAAAAGGGGCATTTACAGTGCTTAAACTGTTTAATGTTATGGTATTAATGATGTAAATGTATTATTTTATTATATAATAATTATTTATTATAGTCTACTAATATAGAAATAATGTTAATTATGAATATAATATTCAATATATAAAATCAAATTACTGAATCAATTACAATAAATAATTGTATTGTTATTTAAGGCCAGCAAACCCATCTTAGGCTGCTAAAAGATGTTTTTTCAGTGTGTGATATCTTATTTTTATGTTAAAAAGAGAGAGAGAAGGAAAGAAAAATTACACGAGTATCTGATTACGGTTAAATTCACGGAAGTATTTTGAAAGCTGCATGTGGGATGATCAGATCATTCTTGTAACAAAATTCACAGGACAGCTTTGCAATAGTTTTGAGGTACAGTTGAACTCCCCGGCTAAACGGGCTAAACTGAGTCAGGGTAACGAGTGATCAATGTGGGCGGAGCATATTTCTCCGTGCTGACCAATCAGAGCGCTCCCTTTCTCGAAGCAGAGACTCGACTACTTGAATGTGTGAGGAAAAAAACTGACCAGTCCTAAAGAATGATCTATACCACGATGGACGCGGGAACGTTACTTTGCCGCTCATTGCTGCTGGCTTTACTTGTATTCTCGGTGACCCGAGAGGCGCGAGGTAAGTGCGTGGGGCTGTAACACTTCTTGGTTTCCCCTCGTCTACATTTCTCAAGTTTTATACGCGCGCGTTTCCTTTTTTCACAATACTACATAGGGGTGTTCAAATATGGCGCAGGTCTTAGAAAGCCACGCTGGCATGAATGTTTATTGTTTTTTTCTGTGCCGTGACAACGGTCACATCTACATCAGTTTGCGAGAGTGTGCGTTTTTCGGACGTGGATATGGAGTGACTCGCGCATGCAATCGGAGCACCGCGCGAGGTTTGGATATCGCGACCCAGTATTTATTTACCATACTTCAGAGCTCCTGTTAACTTATAACAACCTCTAGATCAAATGTTCAGTCATCTGAAACTGTTGACGAGATTTGCTTTTATGAGCGAACAGCAGTTTACTTTCAGTCTGTTTCTATTTCACGCCTGTTCCGCATGTGTTTTGTGGTGATGGACATTTTTCTTTCATTTGACGACATTTAAAAACTTTATCGTAAAATGCCAGACTCTTTCTTGGTTTTAGGACATCCTAGACCGATATTTCCGCACGAGTGACATCGAAGGCTTCATGTCTAACATAGGCATCTAAGTTATGTGGAGATTGTAGACTGACAGAAACCCTGTTTTACATGTTTACGTGAGTTGTAATAACAGATCGGACTATTTCTGTACGTTACAATTATCATAGGCTATTCTTAACAGATGGCGCACTAAATACCAGCTGATATTTTCCATCCTTTATTTTTAGTTAAGTAACGTTAAATGTAATATGACGGAACGTCAATGGATGCAACAGTTTGTTTGTTCAGAGGCGTTTTCTCGTGTCCCACGACAATACACGCGAGGATACAAATGACACTTACGTTTTAAACCTTTCACGGATGCTTTTGTGTATAACACATGCCATTCAATATATTATGTATATATATATATATATATATATATACGAGATTATAACATGACGAGGCTAGATTGTATTCAGACTGTTCGATTAAATAGCTACAGAGGCGTTCCTTCACGCAAACAAATGCCTTTTACTTCAACCTGTTGTTTTTCATTTATTCAAAGCAGGAGTTTTTAACTAAAGCAAATCAAACTTAAAACATATTTTATTCCCACATCCAGCATTAACAAGGGATATGATAAGATATATGATTAGATAGGGATTAACCTAACAGAAGAAGGGAGGAAAAAAGGAGATGGGTATACAAGCAATGATGAAAACATATTAACAAATAAAATCAAACATGGTATTCTAGGTGTTTTGATTTCTTATTAATAGACGTTGAGGTTGTAATTGTGTGCATTTACATTTATTAAAGTAAATGTAAAACTTCCCAAAACGCATTTGGTTCATTCGTTCGTGTGTTACCTGTGCGATGCATGCATGTAATTGAGATGTCCTTGATTCACATACTGTGATAGGCAAGGAAACATCCTATATTTACTCCAGCCCTTCCTTCCTCTCCCAATCACTGAGCTTCCTCTGACACAAAGATTTATTGTTAATAATACAGTCTGTCCCTGAAATATCAGAAGGAAAATAGTTTCAGTTTGTGTTTGCAGAGTTGTGTGAACTGTGGTTTTAAATTACAGGTAGTAGGCTATTTGTCTTTTGTCTGAATCTTTTCCATTCATGTAGATTGTTTGTTCTTGTGCAGATTCGCAAAAACAGATTATTCTGAAGAAGTCAAAAGAGAAGAAATGGATCTTCTTACGTGGTAGTATCACTTGGCCTGATATATGGCAAAATTTGAGTTTGATCTATAAATTGGTGTACAATATTTTAAACATAATAATAGGGATGTAAATGCTCCGAATTTAAGATCTTTAAAAACACTCATAACTCAATAACACTTATTAAATGTAATATTTAGCAAATCTCCGAATGAATATCTTTTTTTCAGTAGTACTGTAGATTATGTTGTGTAGTAAACTGTAGCATTTTAATTGGTTGATTTTAGTATTTAGGCTAGTGTTTTATTTAACACCAATTTCCACAAAATAGTATATGGGCTAATTTTAATATCGGCCATTTATTAGTTATTGACCACAACATGAAAATATCGTATCAGCCAAACTTTTAATAATGGTACGTTTTTTGTTCTTATAAAATGTCAAATGCAAATATTTTGGCCTCCCTTTGTGAGCTGTACATCTGTTTTAGAGGTTGACCGATAGTGGTTTTTACTGATGATAAGGTTGGACCGCACTGGCCAATAACCGATTAACCAACTAATAGTTTTTTAAATGGATACTGAATGACAACAAAATACTCCAAAGGGCTTTTCACACTTAATGGTAAACTTGGGTCATTCTAAACCCCTCTTACTTTATCCTGGGTTACCAGTTCCAGCAATCGGTTATCTGTGTCGATTAACCGGCAAAACCAATCAATCGGTCCACTTCTAATTTGTACGATACAAATGAAAATATACTTAAGTTTTTGTCTACTTGTTTTTGTGTCTTGTGTAATAGTAAAGCATAAAGTACATGCTGTACCACATCATGCATCTCTAAAGATTTGTCTTTGTGAGAGACCTAGTTTTGAAAGCTGCACCTTCCTCTGGAAGATTGCGTTCTTATAGCGCAACAAGGATGGGGTTTGATTCATCAAACTACATTCGAAGGTAGTCCAAAACACATGGGACTACATTGCTGTTCTGTTGTATCTCAATTATATTTGAGAGCAACAGTGAGTTTTTTTTTTTCTATTTTCATGTGTTAAGCATTCAGATATACACTGATGTAATAAGTCGTGAATTCCCCTTAAAGCTGCAGTCCGGCATTTTTCCTCTTTGTCGCCATCTCTGTTCGAAATCTGCAATTGCAGTCATTCGCGGAATTATCAACTTTACGTGGGTTGTAGTTCAACACCCTCGACACGGCACAGCGCAGATGAACACAGTGTTTGAGGAGACTGTGCAGCTGTCAGTCACCGCGCCGATGTGGATATTGTCATTCAGAATCACAGATTATTCTTTTTGGAATTATGACCAACATAAGAATTTTCACCGGGAAATGTCATCTGAACTAGTAAGAAACATTCACTTTTGTTCTGGTTCTGACATTGCAGTAAATCGCGCTGATTAAATCTAACAATTGCTTATAAGTTATCATTTCACGCAAAACCGTGCAAAGTAGCTGTACTATGTTCTCAAATTGTTAATGTTAACAACGTCAGCAAGCATTGCGTGACTACATCATGTAATGTCCTTCCGATATTATCCTTGTTTTCGCATGGGTCCGGTTGCAGTCTCTTTTTTTCTGTAGCCACTCCGAAGTCCGAACGAAGTCTTTTGCATGTTACAGCGGGTGAGTCTCTAGTTGTCACTGATGATGATCGTCGTTTGAACCTTTCTGGATCCGCCATCAAATTGATAAGTTTAATTATATCAAGTGCTGTGAGAAAAGGCTATAAATCTCCACCTCCAACATCCTCACACGCAATATAGCCTACTAGCCGAGACTCCTTCTTTATGTGTACAGGTGTGACGTAATGACGCAAAGACATGCTCGAATCTCCCGCGGAAATCCACCAGTACCACTAAAATTAAAAAACATTATTACAAGCTTACCGTTTTGCATCGAGCTAAGGCAAGCAGATAGTTTTGAACACTGGCTGGTTATGTATTTTATCAAATATGTATTTTGGATAATTTTTAACCCAAAAAAAGCTACGGACAGCAGCTTTAACGAAATCCAATCACAAGTGGTCAGAGAAGATGCATCTGAGGCTAATTTATTATAAACAGCGTATGTAAACAATGTATTTTGGATGGCCAGATCAAATCACCCAGTGGGTCCCCATGTATAAAACTTTGCATAGATTTCATTCTAAAAGTATGCGTATGCCCAAGTGGCAGATTTTGCATATATACTTACAAATGTTTTCAGATTAAAAAAAAAAAACATATGCCATAACTTGCACAAAAACAGTATACTTTATAAATCCCAGCTGGAGATTATGCGTACATGCTCAAGCTTTATTTTTTACTCTGAAATCCTAGAAATGACCCTACATGGAGCTTATGACACCTCTTTCACATCTTTATTATACATAATCTCATCTGCATATAATTTTCATATGCATATTGCCATCCAGACACATGATACTGGTACTAAAAAAAAATGTCTTTATATTTAATTTTTAAAAATATATTTTATATATATTTTGTCCTGTAAATTATCTGAATAGCCTTTAAAAAGGAGGCAAAATTTGTTTTCAGAGAATGTGTCTTGATTAGATCTATTATTCTCACACCACTACTAGCAGATTGTTTAACTTTATTGTAAATTATTTCTTGCAGTATTGAAAACAAGTCTTTTTAGACTTTTAAGCTTTTGAATTTTTTTAAATTTACATCATACTATTTCCTTTAAATTTGACTTCACAGGGGTTAACATTGCAAACAGGGTTCAGTGGGACACTCCCCCTATTTTTACCCATTTTTCTGTGCATTATTGTGTGGTTCTGCTCATTCCACCAATAGCACACCTGTGTGGGACAGAACAGTTACACAGACATCAGATGAATCCAGGCCGCCATTCACAAACTAATGGTCCGTTTGACTACCAGATGTGTCTGGCAGTGGCAGTTTCATTATACAGTCTGATAAAAAACAATTATTTTCAACCGTCATTCTGACCCTCTGTCAGGTATCCTTTTGTGCAGATACAAGTTGTAATGGTATGTTTTGTCATCTAAGACATCTGATTAATGTGTCATGAACGGGCTTCAGTTTACCTGTTAATTCACTCTTCAGCTTCACTTCATGCAGCTATTACTTTTAGATGTTTCTTTTTCGAAAACATTGCATTATTGAAAATCTCGCAGTTATTTTTCTAGTCATATTTTCATATTTTGATATATTAGTCAGCAATAATTTTCATAAGTATCTCAATTAAAAATATTTTCATTATCGCCATGACTGATACTACTGACAGTACTCATTTTTTAGATCTATCAGTACTCGAAATGAAAAATTGACAAAAAAGCCCATCCA